TCGAAATCAAATACCAAAGTTGACACAAGTGAAGCAAAAAAAAAATTACTGAACTTGATTTTAATGTTCTGTTTTTGAAATATTTTCTTTTTTAGCCAATTAAAAATGAATACATTTAAAACAGATTCATTCGTGCTTAGAGTATTGCTGCCACACGGGGTCTGGTATTTCGTCTATATATTTAGAGATCCCTGATAAAATCTAAAGAGAAATCTGCAGTGTTATTGATCCTGACCTGGCATCTCGCCTTCACTCATTTTCCCGACTTCGTAATGGAGCTTACCCGTTCTTTATCTACAAATACTCTCGCAGTAATTCTTCTGATGAACATTTGTCTATGGTACCTAGAATTTATGAATTGTACGAGATTGATGACAACGTCTCATCATGTAACAGTTCATATAGCCAGATATAACCGTAAGTTTTTTTGCTAACAGTTTCTTTTCTCGCACTTCTCGCTTGTGGAACTCTGTTCTGGCTTCTTGAAATCCAGTCAAGTCTTCACACATGTAAATGCAGTGTCTATCGTTATCTTCTGTCTTCTTAATTTCTGTCTGTTTTATTGTTCTTGCTCCTTAATAATGCTTTTCTTATATTCTTTCACGTTCAGCATTCTCCTATGTCTTAGTGACTTTGTTGTCTTCATTTCATCATTTATACAACTGCTGTCAACACAACCAATGTCCATCTGGTGAATAATGACAAGAAACATTCTAAGGCATTTCTTAATCATATATTTCATTGTTTAATCATTGGGTTAAGACCTTATAAGAATCAAATTTAACTATGCTTTCTTTCATTAAGCAGAAATTTCATCTACAATATTATATATGTGCGTTAAAATTCAAATTCAAATCAAATATGGATTGGAATTCAACAGGATAAGATAAAGAACAAATAAGAAATGTTTATCAATCTAACATGGTTCACTTTTATTAAAGCTTTGTTAGAAATTGAGAGAATACGGACAGAAAACAGAACTCAGGTATTTTCAGTTTGGTTTGGAATGATTCACATTTGATCAATACTCCTTTGAACCCATTCAACTTATACCTATCTAATACAAAGAGTACGTATATAAAAACAGTCCCAGATTAATAGAATACCACCCAACTACACTGACTGACCACACAAAAGTGAAAACATCAGAACTCCTACTAGACTGACACACATACACAATTATGAATACACATTACCATTTGATGCCAGCTTAGACATGTTAGAATTTTTACAAATTACATATATATAGAATTATGTTAATGCACATGAAAGACCAATCAAAACAAACTTTAAAATAACAAGAGTTCAGTGTTTTTGTCTGTTATAGTGCCGCAACAACACATCTCCAATGTACACGGTTCTGAGCAATCATCTTCAGCTCAGCCCATGTCGTGCCGACTGCCTTCCCAGGGGATTTTCACCAGTACGTGTTATACGCTCTACTTTCAAGGACTTTTCCTCGGCCATATCGTTGTTTTGAAGATATCGTTGAGGTCTCTTTAACAAGCTAGATTTCTAATAGGGTAGGTTGTTAGCCTACTGTACAACCCCCAACCTGGAGGACCAGGGTATGTCTTTCGTCTGGCTCCTACCCGACAGACCTTTTAAGGATAGTTGGGCCTGCTAAGGACCGAAGCCGACATATCTCTGGGGGTTGTTGATGAACGCAAGCCGTCCTATCACGTCAATGCAACGCACCATCAGGACAGCTTGTTACCTATCTGTGGTGAAATAATTAAAAAAATAATTTTTTGTTGCCTTGCTTGGAGTGAAATGATTAAAAAGAATAAAAATAAGAAAATGTAAAAAATAGATTAAATTTTAAAATGATATCACTGAAGTAAGTTAATCTTTTAATCTTAATATTTGCGATTAAGTCAAATGACTCTCTTGAGAGGCATAATCTCCCCGTATATATAGTAATAGGACGAGTCCATTTAATCCATAAAAGTAGGTCCCATAAACGGTACCTGGCTTTTTAAAATTTAAGCGTTGTACTAGGCTGGCGTGGAGATCTGATCAATTTACAATTGAGCTGGCTAGATGTAGCCGTAAGTTCTATGCTAACAGTTTCTTCTCCCGCACTTCTCGCTTGTGGAACTGCATTCCGATTGCTTGCTTTCTAAGTGACTTTAATTTGTAAAAATCCAAATGCAATGTCAATCGTTATCTACTGTCCTCCTGATTACTCTTTTCTATTTAAGCTCGTTATTAATGTTTCTGTACCTAATTCTTCCACACTCTTTAAACTATTCTCGTTTTAGTGGCTTCATTCCTTCCTTGGAGGGGGGATACCGATTAAAAAACAAACAAACGCACAAGCCAAACAGAATTTCCATAAAGAATTACTGAAAAACCTTCTACGAAAAATAAATTCCTGGATATGTGAGCATACGGCCATATCACGTTGAAACATTGGTCCCCGTATGGTCACCGAAGTTAAGCAACGTCAAGCCTTATTAATACATAGATGGGTGACATCCTGGGAATACCAAGTGCTATGAGATTAGATGTAAGGAAGTGTAATGGATAATGATTCAGAAATGTTAATCGGAAAGCGACTTTAAAATCAATTTGGGTTCGTTATATTCACTTACGCGCAAATACAGTTTGTAAAGTTATGAACACACCTCTTCTCCCCTAAACTATTGGTTTATTAGTAAGACTAGTATCACAAAAATCCTTATTATATAGAAAGAAATAAAAATCAAAATTGCATACAAATATTTAGATTTCGGCATTAAATTACACGGTAATGCCGATAATTCGCTAAACAGAAACAACAAGCAGACCAGATATGTGACTAGTCTGGCAGTAAAGTGTGTTTCATTAAGACGGATTATATATAAGGGTGTTTCATTAAGACGGATTATATATAAGGGTGCTTCATTAAGACGAATTATATATAATGGTGTTTCATTAAGACGGATTATACATAAGGGTGCTTCATTAAGACGAATTATATATAAAGGTGTTTCATTAAGACGGATTATATATAAGGGTGCTTCATTAAGACGAATTATATATAAAGGTGTTTCATGAAGACGGATTATATATAAGGGTGTTTCATTAAGACGGATTATATATAAAGGTGTTTCATTAAGACGGATCAAAGTCAGCAGTAAATAAATCAGTGTTATTGTTGAAAATTTATTTATTTCTCTATAGGATCAAGTCATGTCAATTATGTGTGAAAAATACTATCACCCAAATGTCCGCCAAATCTGAAAGAAAAAGAAAAAAATCATTAGACGCTTAAACTTAATTCACATTTATAATCAGTCCAAGTTACAGGAACATCTTATATATTAGCGCAGGAAAGAACAAGTGTTAGTAGTTTAGAGCTTTTTATAACACTTGTCATTGCACTTAATCTAATGTTACTCCATTAATCAAATACGTCCTATTTTACCTCATTCGTCATAACCATTTTAATAGTAACACTCTATTCTGAGTGTCTCTTGAGTCTTATATTGTGTGAAATTTTATTCGGAAATATACTGAACATTATTCAGTAAACATTTTATAACTAATAATCACTGTAAGGTTACAAAAGCCAAGTCTATTTTATAGTAAAATGACCAACAATACATTTTATAGTAGAAGAAAAAACGATACATTTTATCTGTAGTTGAAGGCATAGAATTGCGTTCAAAATATAAGTAGTTGAGGGCAAAACATTATACAAAATTTTTACAGTTTGGCTTTAAATGTTTCATAGAGCTTGATTGAAAGTAGAGTGTTTTATTATGACGATCAAAGTCAGCAGTAAATAAATTAGTGTTATTGTTAAAAAATTAATTATTTTTTTCTATTTGATCATTTTATTTAATTCATGGCAATTATATGTGAAGCATAATATCGGCCAAATGTCTGACAGAAAAATAAAAAAAAAATCATTAGATGCTTAAACTTACTTCACATTAAAATCGGTCCAAGTTCTTTATATTTTTCTTCAAAGTATATATTTTAATATTTGGAAGATATTTGATGTAGAAATGTGTGCTAAGAAGAAATCTGATTATGTTAGGCACTTTGTGGTGTGACACCCAAAACAAGGTTAAAAATAACAAAACTTTTCCTTATAATTGATTAGTTTTGTTAGATCTTCGTTCCAGACAGGTAAAATCGACTGAATGTTGCCATTAAAAAAAAAAAAAAAAAAAATTAGTACACTCGATTGCTTCCAAAATCTGTCATACCCAAACATTAAACTGATTGTTTCGTCTGAACGAATACCATCTACATGGCCATTATACCATAAACACTGCCAATACCACTGTACATTTCACAGCCATCCACATGCCCCCGGTGATAACTCGAGCATCATACAAAATTCACCACAATGGTCACGATGCCCCTAATCCTAACCCGTTATTTCGCTTCGACTAAAACTTTATTATCGTTCCCATCACCATCACTCTCACACAGTGATAACCTTAATATCCTGGGAAATGCAGTTGTGTGATGGCCTTATTCAGCCGCCTCGCGCCATAACCGCCCTTCTGACCATTTGGCTAAAATCGGACGTGCGGTTCAACTCGCTTGACCTCTCACAATAGAGTCGGCCAGGCGAATGGCCGTTCGCCCATTTCTTTCATCACGGACCTCATCCGGACGCTGGTTTCATTCTAAGCGAGAACGGCAGCATCAGAGAAGCTGCCAACGGCCAGAGGTTTCAACGGCAGATTACCTAATAATATCAACAACGTAATTACGACCAAAAGCACTAATATCACTATCATCTACACACGCAGATTATTACCCCTTTTATCCTCGCTTCGAATTCAATCAATATTATGTTTCTTCTTCTTCTTCTTCTTCTTCTTCTTCTTCTTCTTCTTCTTCAGGCTCTTCTACTTCTTTTTCTACTTCTTTTTCTTCTTCTTTTTCTATTTCTTCTTTTTCTATGTCTTTTTCTTCTTTCTCTTCTGCTTTTCTACTTCTTTTCTACTTCTTCTTCATCTTCTTCTGGTTCTTCTTCTTCTTCTTCTTCTTCTTCTTCAGGCTCTTCTTTTTCTACTTTTTTCTGCTTCTTCTTCATCATATTCTTCTTCTTCTTCTTCTTCTTCTTCTTCTTCTTCAGACTCTTCTTCTTTTTCTACTTCTTTTTCTACTTCTTCTTCTTCATCATATTCTTCCTCTTCTTCTTCTTCTTCTTCTTCAGGCTCTTCTTCTTCAGGATTTTGTTCTTCTTTTTCTACTTCTTTTTTTCCTTCTTCTTCTTCTTTTTCTACTTCTTCTTCATCATCATCTTCTTCTTCAGGCTCTTCTTCTTGTTCAGACACTTCTTCTTTTTCTACTTCTTTTTCTTCATCATATTCTTCTTCTTCTTCTTCAGGCTCTTCTTCTTTTCTGGCTCTTCTTCTTCTTCATCATTTTCTTGATCTTCTTCTTGTAGCTCTTCTTCAGGCTATTCTTCTTCTTCTTCTTCTTTTGATTTAATTCGTACTCCACTTTCTTTTTTTCTTCCTCTTCTTTCATTGATACTGCCGTTACTTCTCATAAATTTAGCCAAGCCTCCATCTACTTGATATAATTATTGTCGATAGGCTCTTTTGACTTTTTTTCCCGTTTTTTCTTATTAGCATACTTTCTCATTTTAGGTTTCTTACTTATTATTATTATTATTATTATTATTATTGCATCCGTGACGTCAAAAATTAAGGCAATTATTAGAAAGTTTTCATTGTGCGATTCAATGAAACAAAAGTCTTGAAGCAATATATTGAGATTCAATAAGGCGGAGATAAAGAATACACGACTAAAATAGAGGCCAGTGAACCGATTAATTCATTCGTTCCTTTTATATTATTTAGATGTTCAATGGTATCCATGATTTATTGATGACTCTTGGTATTATATGTCACTTTTCGCTCAATATCTTTCCATATTAAAAAAAGTTGATGTCTTTAAGATAGCATACCATACAATTAGTAACAGAACGACAAAGACGGCAACAACAGAATCCATATCAAAGCAAAAAGATCACTTAAAAGACAAATGTATCTGCGTAACTCACATGAAAAGCTTGAACAAATAAGGTTGCAATCTAAGAAAAAATGGGGTTAAAGAAAAAACATTAATCGAACGGTTTATTTTTCTCAGGAACAAATTTTGTCTAAATGCAGATACATATTTTATTTGAATAGTGTTGTTACATAGGTAATTTTACAGAATTGAATAATAATAATAGTAATGAACGATAATACTTAGGAGAATAATAACATATATAAATTCACCAGCGGTGCGTAGAAGAAGTAGTTAACTGGTAGAAGTCAGTCAAGTGAATTCCACAATGAATCTCTAACTGCAGACCAACATACAGTATTTACTATTGTATTTATGTGAATGGGGACATACACATTATCGTCCGTAGGTCTGCTACAAAAAATAGATTATTAAAAATGTGCACAGATTATAGATGTCTCATTGCCAGTGAGTTCACGAACACACTGCCAGGTCCAAGGATTGAACTCGCAATTAAAAGATATATATTTCACGAAGCAACAATTTAACTAGCAACTGTCCCTTATGACCGTGTTCTCAACGACGTAGGGTAGTGTAGACTTAGTGGAAATGAGCAAGCAATAACTGATAACTGATTAGCCTCATCTTTGTCGCCATATTTATTACAACGTTTCGGCCGTTGTATGCTCCGGCCTTCTTCAGTTGGTTGGAATGTCAAACTGAACCCTTTATCTCGCTCACTGGGGTAGACAGTTCTAGTTCCACGTGCCATGTTTAATGGATGCCACTTATCAGTTATCTCCTGTTTATTCCCCAGTGGATAAAGGCTTTGGTTAGATCCAGTGAAAGGACCCAAAGAGTGTGAGTTCAATACGCGGTTAAGGCAGTGGTTAACTTGGAGAAGGTAATTAAAAGGAGATAACTGATAACTGACATCCATTAAACATGGCACGTGGAACTAGAACAGTCTACCCCAGTGAGCGAAAAAAAGGGTTCAGTTCAGTTTAGTTGGATATTCCAACCACCCGAAGAAGGCCGGGGCGTACAACGGCCGAAACGTTGTAATAAATATGGCGACAAAGATGAGGACAATAGTCCGAATAATATAAATAGTGGCCGAAAAATATTTGAAACTCTTTAGACTAAATTCGATTTTTCTTCTATGTACGAAAATAATGATTTCTTTGTATGAATAATTATTTCCTTTCCGGCCTGATGACCCGTATCATCATTTGAACGTGCATATATGTCCAGGGAATCTGGCCGAGGCTTGACGATTTTGATTTTGCTGCTCGTCGATAAGTTAATTACGTATCTCGATGGCATACACTGATTAAGATATCGAACTTTTCTTGTTCGCTTTCGTTCATCTGATACGGCGCAAATAAACTCAGTTTCTCTTAGTTTCCACAACTTCGATCTTTTCTAGATCTTATTGCAATAAATTGAATTTGTAGTGGATCTAGGAAGGCTGCCTGAATATTTAAAAGTGTGCTGCAAATAAAATATGCAATATCCACTGACATAAAT